TCTCTTCCTGTGTTGTCTCCTCCCAGCTTCGCATTCATGTCGCCCATCAGGATTTTGATATCGCCATTTGGGACGTTGTCCATTATTGCTTGTAGTTGTCTGTAGAACGCCTCCTTCTTCTCTTGTTCTGAGACGTTTGTAGGCGCATAACATTGAATGACTGTAACTTTCCTTCCTTTTGAGTTGAACCTGGCTGTCATTATCCTGGAGGAGATTGGTTCCCACTGCATGAGAGCTTTGGTTGCTGTTGGTGACATCATGATGGCCACTCCCTCGGTGGTACTCCCTCGGTGTGCTCATGGCTGTCCTCTAGGTGGCCGGAATGGATTGCTGTCTCTGCAGTAGGTAGTTGGCACCTTCCAGTTCCGTTCCATCTGCTTTCGCAGATTCCCAACACTTCTATTCTGTACCTTCTCATTTCAGCGGCTATCTGGACAGCCTTTGCAGTTTCGTACATTGTGCGAACATTCCAGGTACCAATCCTTACTTTTGCTTTCATCGAAAGAAGGCACATCGGCTGACTGGCTTCCCGAAGGTTTTCACCAGCCTGCGTCATTTCACTTCCCCGATTCCAGCGAAAAGTAAGGCTATTGCTTATGTGTTTAGAATTTTTAATATGTTTATTCGTTGAAGTTTCTGTAACGATTTGGTTGTTTTACAGGGGTGGAGTTGCTAGCACCACGCCCCAACCCTCCCTCTTTACCCGGGCTTGGGACCGGCGAGAAAACTAGTAAGCTAGTGGCCTAGCAAGCTAGTATCTGGCGAGGTTACGGGACCAATAATGTTTGCAGATCATTTGTCATTCTAAATGGTCAAACATCCACATTATTCATTCTCATTCAAAAAGTCCAATGGAAGCTAAAATGGTGAGAGAAAAAAGAAGACAAACAACAGCAAAGCAAAAGAAAGCAACGGGAGTCCTTAAGGAGTGATTAATAAATATATATATATTCTGTTTAGTAACTGTGGTTATTTTTGTTCATTAACTAACTAGTCCCGTTATGCTAACTTTTATATTATGTGTGAACTAATATTACTGTCCTGTGTAGAAATGTTTATTATCTAGTTCCAATAATATTGTAATTTATAATTTTAGTTTGTTGAAACTACACGTTTAAAGAACTTAAAATATCTATGTAGGGTGAAAAAGAGGGTGTAAGAGTCAGACGTAGAAGTGCATTGTCATCTTTGAGCAGTCTGGTGACTGAGGAGATGAACACTGGAAGTGTGTTTGCATCGCACACATTAGCTGGTAGTCTATTCCAAATGACTGAAAACTTATTTAAGAAGAAGTTGTACCGCACGTAAGTCTGACAGTGCTCTATAGCAGCTAGGTTGTGATGATTTCTAAGATTGTAACTGATGACAGTGGCAGGTTTAGTTATTGGCTCGGAGGAATGCAAGAGAAGATTAGTTAGCTTATAGTAAAATATGAGGTTTAGCTTATGATGTCTTTTCCAGAGGGGTTCTAATCTTAGTCTTTCGCATCGCTCATGGTATTCCAGACCACTTTCTAAACCAAGAGTTCTTGAGGTAAACTGCCGTTGCACTCCCTCTAATTTAAGCTTGTCATTTTGTCTTAGTCCGCTAAGAATAAACGGGCAGTATTCTAAGATAGGTCGGACACATACTTTGTATAATAAAACCCTAGTTTCACAACAAAAGAAATTGCGTGTTATGCATCCTATCAGCCTTCGTGCTTTACGTCTGGCATAATCAGTTTGTTCAGCGAACGTTAGGTTACTAGAGTATCTAATACCGAGATCTACGACTGAGTTGAGCTTAGCTAGTTTTCGCCCATTTATTTCAAGAGTTAGATCAAGGTTACTGTTGCCGATACAAATCCAGCCGCATTTGTCAATGTTAAAGTTTAGACAGGATTCAGCACACCATGTTGCGAGACTACTTAGTTCAAGATGTATTTTAGTAACCATATCGCTTAATTCATGAGTGTAGCAGGAGTAGACGACTTTGAGGTCGTCAGCATATAGGAATGGTTTACCTGAGGTGAAGCACTTGCAAATGCTGTTAATGTAGACTGTGAATAAAAGTGGACCTAGGACACTACCTTGCACGACCCCACTTGAGATCTGCCTAGGATGAGACAATACAGATCCAACTTTGGTTATTTGTACCCTGTTGCTTAGAAATGATTTTAACCAGTTCAGTAATGGGTTGCGAATTCCACAAGAGTACAGCTTCTCAAAGAGAATACTGTGAGATACCATGTCAAATGCCCTAGATATATCGAAGTAGAGAACAACGACTAGCTTACGTGCTTCGCGACTACTAGTGATGCAGTTGAAAAAGTCGAAGTGGCAAGTAACGCAGGATCTATTTTTGAGAAATCCGTGTTGAGACCTTGTAACAAGATCTTCCCTAATTAGGTAGTCTGACAATTGATCTTTTACAACTTTCTCCATGATTCGTGAGATAACTGGGGTTATATTTATGGGTCTGTAATTGCGGACGTTTGCCTTATCACCAGATTTGTAATGTGGAATTATGAAGCTAGTTTTCCACTCACTAGGGTAAGTGCCAGTGTCCATAGATATTGAGAAGAATTTAAGAAGTAACAAGGGTATATCACACCCACTGTTTTTGAAAATTATCGAAGCGAGGCCATCCGGTCCCGTACTAGTGGAAGGTTTAAGGCTTTTAATTGCTTGTACTATTAATTCATTAGTGAACACAATGCTTTCAAGGGAAGAGCTAGTAAGGGGAGCGGTTTCACCAGGCATATGTGTTTCTAAACTAAAGTTTGCAAACCAATCACTGAAGAGTTCACAGATAGTGGCAGGTTCATTGTAGATTACTTTGTCGTGAAGTAAGTATGGGATTTCCCTCGCTGACTGCATTCGTTTTTTAAGAAGTGCCGTTAAGTTATAAACTTTGGGGGTACTTTCAAGTGCCGTTAACTCTTCGTCGAGGTCCTTTTGAGAGCGTAGGCGCTTGATAGATTCAAGAGACTCGTGGATTGAGAGCAGTAGTCATATATTCTTAGTGGAATAGTACTGTTTCTTCAGCTTCCTTAACTTATTGCGGTGTACCCTTGGAATATATTCAGCTCGGTGTCTACTTAATTTCAGTATTTTCCTTGGAGCAACTGTATCTAGGCAAAGGATAACAAAGAGGGAGGGTGGCGCTAGCTGATCAGTAGATATGGTGGGGGTCACTAAGGTGAATCGCCCCATTCTGCAGGAAAAGCAATATGCAATTTGAAGGCTCGAGATTTTTCTGATTTTTATGAGGGCTTAGATCTTTATCTTGAAAAAGATAATAATGAACGCCTAGACAGATCATGCTTCTGCCTTTAAATATATACCATTCGCTCAGCCTATTGTTGAGATGCGACCACGTGGGATCTGCACAGATTTATGGGGCATCTTATAAATTAACTTGCTGTTCATTGTCGGATCTTTAAATACCACTTCACAATGTCTTATCTCATTCATTTTCTAATAACGTCTTTACTTGATCCTCATTATATTCCATTAAACCTAACATTTTATAGCCCTTTATGAATTTGATTCGACTTATTCTATTCCTATTCTCTGTAGGATACGGTTGTGCACCAAATGCACAAAAAGATATAAAACAAAACACCGGCATGAGGAAAGATGTATTAAAGCCAAAAGTGGACATCATGATAGTACAAACTATACGGGACGCATTATACATTGCAAATGAACATTGTCAGCCTAGGGAGTTTCCTTTATTAATGCGTTTATTAGTGATACTTGCACTTACCTATTTCATTACACTTTGATAATTCACCTTAGCACTTTAACTTTTCTAAAACAGCTTTGAATCCCTTGTAAACGTTGTACTTACCTCAATATTGGTTGGTTATCGTATGTCTACAACCACGGGATGAAAACGAAACGAAGTCAGTTTTCCCGCGGAACTTGGAGGACAAGTGTGCAATTCAATAGCTATACAGCCTAGTTCAGACAATGAGTGTAATTATATATATATATATCCAATATTTAACTGTTGAAACATTATTAACTTGTAGACAATCTACGACTTGACATTATACCATACTTGATCGTGCCTGTAAAAATGGCATGCATTTTCATGTAAACTTATAAGTTTATATGAAAATAAAAATTATTATTATTATAAGATGCCTCGAACTTTTTTCAATCGCTGATTACCTGATTTATTGTAGACTATCACACCCAGTTTTGTATCTAGTCGTTTGGTAACCTCTCATGTAATGAAGTTTGTCGGTTACCGATTCCGCATCAAACTCGTCAGTAATTTGGTTATGGACACGATGTTCAGAGGTGTACAATCACAGAATGAGGTTTTATGGCACTAATCTGTGCTGATTTGCTTGGCAAATGTTCGGAGCATTCTCTATTCATAAGCTAACTACATCTTATTTCCTGCATTTCAGTCTTCAGCTCTTCTACAGAGTGCTTTGGACGTTCTATTTCCGAAGTAATCGCTGAAGATGGACTTGTTTTCTGAAATTCGTTCAAGCGTTTATAAGGTGTATTGAAGAGGTGTATGTTAGGACCATGTGCTGAGACTGCAGGGATGATGCTACTACTATTTGTTCGCATAATTTTGCTGTCAGTTCCAGCCACAGTAGATGGTTATGACATAGCAGCTCGACGCTTGCCCTTATCTGGCTAGTGTAAAACAATGCATAATTAGTGCAAATAAACAAACCGAATTTTCAGCTCAGTATGTTCGAAGAAAAAAGTCTAACTAATATAAACTCGAAATAGTGTTTACTGACACTTAACTGTGGTGAGTCCAGTGTAAATCATGCTTCAGGCAGTCTGATTTACATCACAAGAATGTAAATTACACAAGACCTAATGTACAGAATGTTTCAACAGATTTTCCTTGTTTCATTCATAATTGTACCCTTGAATCGTGTCCAACCTAAGGTCTGTGGAACAATTGAAATTTGTAAGGTTTTAGTTGTTAGTGCTTAGTTTGCAGATTTATTCAGTCGAATTCCGGCCACAAAGTCTGATGTTATGGCAGCATCTCTAGGGGATGATGAACTCCGTCGAGAATTAAAAGCTTTAGGTGTGGACGCTGGCCCCATTACTGCAACGACGAGGTCTGTGTACGTAAAAAAACTTGAAAAGCTACAGAAAGAGAGAAAACAACCTCTCACAGCGCCTGCACCTAAGGAATTTGCACAAGCACCTAAACAAAATGCAAAGATTCGCAAACCTACGAATGTTGCAACTCAAAAAGACGTCGTTTCCACTCCTGTGCTTCCCACACTTGAGTCCTCAAATGTGCATAACATAAGAAGTCCTTTTATCATTAGTCGTAAACGAAACATAATTGAGGAGAATCGAGAACATGGTAAGTCACCTTAAGTGGAGTTTCCTTAGTGCTTTATATGTGTTTGTATTGTCATCGATGTTACAATACTGCTAAACATCGAGAACTACCCATAAGTAGTTCGGTCTAGCTCTCATTACATGCCATAAAAAGTCCAAATATACATTGAAATGACACGGGAAGTGATGTGAGATAGCAATGAACCCTTAACTAGTTTGGTTAGTGCTGAAGTCGCAATTGCTTCCGGTCATCGGAAACAAACATCTGGTTATTTGTATGATCCTGCAAGTAAGCTTCCTATGCAATGCTCTGAAAGAAAGGACGGCCTAGTAGGTGCGCAGAATACATTTTGAATATTCAGTTCCACCATATTACTATACTGAAAGTGCATCTAGGCATTCTCGTCTAGCTAGTGAGTGCCATAACCCAGTTATGGATAATTTGTTGTGTGCGAAGTGCTGGTTTTACTAATTCGAGATAGCCAAGTGGAACTGTAATTAAGGTGTCATCAGTCTTATAGCTTATTTGAAGTTGTCGCAACGCAAGTAATAATTAACGAGGGTGTGCTCTTAAGTGATCTTGGGAGGATGGTCATCAGGTATACATACGATCATTTATTCAGTTTTTTACTTGAAAGTTATCGAATTTTTCTCTGGGCCTCCGACTTTTGCTGTGAAATTTAACAGTATGCCAGTATATTCCACTTATTCTTGTTCAAAATCTGGATAAGTCAACCATGATACAAGGTACCATATGCAGAGCTGCATGCAGTTACCTTCATTTGTAGTCAACTGTTCTTATTTGAGGCTCAAGAGTGGTTAGAAGTTTCAACATTAGTGTTGGCTACTTCACTTTTGTTGTATCTCACTAGCGAAATTCATTTGCCAAAGTTCGGTATTGTAAGCCAAACCTTAAAACATTATGAACTATTAGGGTCAACACAAGCCAAATATGTCCGTATTTAAGATTGTGGTAAATGTAGACGTCGGGTAGGTCATAGTCATTATTGTTGTACTAATGTTTATTATTTCTAAAGCAATGGAGAAAGTCGTGTTTTAAAGAATAATGAAGATGGTATCCGTCATACCAACAGCCTTCACATTGAGAAGTATTAACTTTGTTTGGATATATATATCTTGTTTTGACCGTAATGCCCTATAATGCTGTTACGACGCGGCTCATTCTTCAGGGGCTTCTCTACAGGAGCAGTTGCCACGACCATCTCTGATGAGCTCTAACTATAAGGATGTAACTTAAACCTATGGTTTCATGGTGGTGACTGTTGAATCTTTAGTGATGTGGTGTTATAGATGATTTCAGTGCGAATGTAAGCTGTCCGGGCTAATCAGAAAAACATAGCGAGGGAGTCTGTAGCGTCCTATACCGATGAACTGGCACCAGCGGTTATCTCTTGGCTCTAATAATCACTTGTTCTCTGCTATCAGACGTAACATCCGGCTACTTGTTAAAGAGCGTATATACCGTGTGGCATCTCTTCACAGCGAACTAAGTGGAACGAGTAATAAGTTGATGCCTCTTCAATTTGTGTTCAATAATACTCGAATCAACAACGGAGTTGCAGTTTTTCGGCACTTGAATAGGAGTGACATGCTTTTTGATAGTTCAGCTGCCTTAGAATATAAAGATGCCGTCCTGTCTAAACTTTCATATAAATGTGGTTATAACTGTTTTTGTTCAATTTTCAGCAACTGAAGGAGATAGACACTTAGGTAATAAATTATTTTCGAGCACCAAAGTACAATCCACCAGACATGAAATGGTGGACTTATCTGAACCATACACTGACATTTTTCCAAGTTCCAGCCAATTGGAATCATCCAAAGTCACAGGTACATTTCACAATGATACAGACGAGATTTCTTCAACAGCATCACGAAGACCGACTTCTGTGCGAAATTTTTCACGAAGTTTTACTAAAAGTACCACAAACTACGCACCAACCAAAAAAACCTATGTCTACATTAGAGAAGATTCTGCCGATGAAGACGATACAGACGAAGAATCTACTAAACCAAGTCCAGTCTCATCGACGTTATCGAGAGTTGCTGGCTGGCTAAACCGAAGTGCTCATGAATTCGCTAAACCTAAATCTCCAGGAAATGAGTCTCATTACGTAAAATCTACGCCTCGTCCGCGTCATTCTGTCCATAACGACCGCCTGCAAATATCAGATACGGATAACTCCGATATAGAAAACTCTACTCGTAGTCCGTTCTTCAAGCAACTGTACTCCTCTCCTTTCAGGTTTGTAATGATTTGCATAATTATCGTTTTTTCGTGCTAAGATAACTTCGTTTGTGTGAATTGCTCAATAACTAACACATGCACCAGTCTGAAAGCAGGACATTGCGATGGACTGTATTTTATTTCAGCTTTTTAAATATCAGAAAAATGCCCGAAAATTTACAATGAAATAAATATTTCATATACTTATGTAGCTTGCTTGCTCTATTAATTAGGAAGCTGTGATATCCAATGTTCAAATTTTCCCATAATTGTTTGATTTATGACAGCCTATTTTATGCCATTATCATTTCACATGGCCAAAACAGTATTCCCTTCAGATTAAGCCTATTGCATAGTTTTCATTATGGCTATAATAATAATAACATCATTATTTGCAAGTGAATTTGTAGTCAACTGGTCTGTTTTATTGCCCTGAATCTTATGTAGTTAATTTACCTACTTTCAACTTGGTTCGTGCTTACGCAAAAGTGTGATTTGGTGTATTTATTAGGTCTGGAAAGATGCAATCCACATACTGTTTATTCTAGTTTTATGAAAGCGTAATAGTTAAATGTCTTGAAAGGTAACTCTTTAAACCTGACCTGTGTATATCAATGTGGCTGTAGCTCATTGGTCCAGGCATTCAACTTTCAGTCATTGAGACAAACTCGAATCTCGCCCATCTACGGAGGTTTGGACAGCTAGGTTTTTTTTTTCACTAACCCCTTACAACAGCCTTGGCACACCTCCATGGAAATGCAAATAGTTGCTAAGTAACATTTCAATTGTATGTTTGCATCAATGTGAAACTTATATTTCTGTGTAGGTGTTTTCCATATCCTAGGAAATACCTTTAGGCTTGCACTTTGAAAGAATGATGCGTATATTCTCATTATACGAACTACATTTTGTCGCAGAAACACTCACTGTGAAGTGGCTGTTCCAAACACGAAAGTTAATTATGAGAAGAGTTATGAGGTTTGTCAATCAAGTCACTGTTTCCATGTTCGTTTGCCATCTAAAGTGTCATCTAGCATGTTTTATTATGTTAACTATGTACGGAAAATTCCTCACAGTGTTGTGTGTCATAATATCAAAATACTATCTTCTGGCCATGTGTCACGACTGTCACTAGAGAAAGTCCATTGATCTTCGTATTGTAGAGGTGAGTGCAAATGTGATAGAAAGGTTTAAAAGAAGAAAATGTTCTTTTCCAATAACCTCAGTGTGAAGCTGTAGGGTTGTATTTATATTATCTGAACGTCAATCATTTGTACTGAAATTGCTGATTTGATTTTCATGCAATAAAATACTCTCTTCCTGTAACTACTTTTCAGTTGGTACAGTTGTGGTACTTTGTATATTCATATGTCTTATTTCAACCTGTTTACTTATTGACTCACTAAAAGTAAGATTGATTTTCAGTAGCTAATAATTATCCCATTCCTTTTTGGCTTCAGAAACATGAAATCTCGGGATACTGGGATAACAACATCTCCTGGCCTCTTATTCACTCCTCCATCTAGAAGTTTTGAAAGGTCAAAACACCATGGTACTTCTGTGCTTTCTGAAGATGCTGATATGGATGATCCCTCCAGTAGCGAAAAGCAATATAATCAGAAGAAGAATGTCCCCAGTAGTCTTTTATTTGGGAAGTATTTTTCAAGCAATGTTTCATACATTCCTAATTTAATACTTATTTCAAGTATTTCCCTATTTGTTATATTGGTGGCCAGTTACTTATTTTTGAGGGATCATCATGGAGAAGTTGGAAAAATGGCAGGTGAGTTGTTGAAATTATATAATTAACTCTGTAAAACAATACAGTCTGTTCGAAACCTTATGTCACTTTTCCCTCTGACATAGAAGCAACATGTTGTAATTGTAAGTTTATTTCTTAGCGGTCCACTTGGTGTATTCAGAATGTATGGGATGTCAGGTTCAAGTATATTTTATTTCGACCTCACAGCTAAGTGGCAGATGGTATTTTTGGTCCTCTGTGTTGTTATATAAATTCGGATGTAGTTAGGAAATTGATTCCATCTGAGAACTAAAAGTAAATTAGAAGTGCTGTTTTCGCTGTAACTGACTTAGTCTTAGTAACGCGTACAAACAAATTGTTGCAGACACCTCATAATACGCTTCGAATTTAATGTCACACAGGAACAACAGTTGTTCGAAACCTTTTGTGCACCTTTCTGACCGAAACGATGTAGATGGACTCTGACTGGTGGTAATACAATAATGCTTGGTAAAATGTTACTATCATACCAAAGTAACAATGAGTCGTATTGCAAAAACAAACCCTTCACGTTCTTTCTGATTGTCTAAATCTTGGTGATCTGGTGATTTATGCCGCATGTGCATATACATATACGATAGTTAACGAACTTACTGTTCTCATCACATCATTTGACTGACTGGTTTCAACATAGAACTTTGCACTGATGTGCAGCAGTGTAAGTCGGCACATTCTATGTAGCACACAAAGCAAGATAAAAAAGTAAAAAGGAATGTAAAATAGAGACAGTAAACAAAGATATGAGACAAAAAGAATAGTAATACCGAAGTACAGTATAGTTCTATTGGGTTTTATAAGTCACAATGAGGGGATGTATCTGCGTCATTGAGAATGAGGATTTTTAGCCATATCACCGATTGTCTCCAGCCATTGGGTTTTACCGTCCCGAAGACCCCAGCCAGGAAGTCGTTGAGATTTATAATGATTCGGAATCTGGTATTATATATAATATTCCTCCTTGTGTTTTATTACTTTCATTACACATATGAGTATGGCTATTGAGTGATAGAAAATGATTTGATATTATCACAGTATAATCCTATATGTTCCCTACCAATTTGATGAAATCACTTTCCCCCTAAATAAGCAGCAGATTCGTCGGTCGTTAGCTAAGGCACAGTTGAAATAATTACGTATAATAAGTAGTTGATTACTTGAATAAACATAAAACTCACTGTCTGTATCTATAATTATGTACTACTTTGTTGGATAGAAGTTTGTTATCAAAGTTTATGCATCAGCTCGAGTTAGTTCGCATAAGAAAGGTGACATATGTCACAGATGATTACTCAAACTATTTATTGATTGTTTGATTTTCATTATTTTATGTCCTTGGTGCCTATCACTAAAATGCTGTTCGTCTCTGGGTTGATTGTTAAATCTGTACACTGATGTATTCATCCAAACTGTCACACTTTTTAAGCAAGACTTATAATGGCTTAATGTTGAATGTCAGGAGACATATTAGCAAACACGTGAAGAACTATCCATTTTTCGATTAAAATCTTAAAGAGTATCCTATTCTGTTCCAGTAAATCTTTCAAGTCATATTATGTTTTTTAATCCAACCGATGTTTGCTACCGATCACATTTTATGTAATAGATCTGTAATATCTCGCTTATTGACTACCTGTGACGTGCCTCAAATCTTAGTATGCATCGTTCGCAGTTCTTATTAATCAACATGTTATCTAATATATTTAGATAACGCAGAAATGTCTAATTCTTTCCTATGTATGGTTTTCCACACACATACATATTTAGATGTACAGAAGCTGCTTTGTCGATCTTCGGATGGTGAATATGCGAAGGGTTTGCATGTAAGTGTATGCAAATAATTATAATATCTTCCTAATTGTTTAGCGCTGCCTCCATGACGAAGATTTAACTGCAACCTTATCAGTTCTTGGCACTTTGTATGATATTCTCAGTCGATATGCTGGTAAGTCTGTTTTACCAGTGTACTTATTTAAAAATTTTTTTTCCAATAATTTGCTTAAAGGAAGGAATACTGTACTGTTTCTCAGTGCTCACTCCTAACTGGAGTCGACTCAGTGCATTTCATATCTTTTGTTAACCATAAAACTGCTCTATCACTAGCTCACATGCGTTAATTATCTATTATTCTTTTATTTCACTATTTAGGAAGTGACTATCTAGCCTCACTGACTTATTGCATATATTTAATTGTGGTTTATTTTGTGTTCATTTTTCATGCCTGTTTAATGACTTTGTGTGCCTTTATCTCTCCACAATCACCCTCCCTTTCTTTTCACTTCAGGAGAGTTTCACTGTAAAATTGGATCACTGAATAGCCCTCGTCTATCTGTTTCCACCGCAGAGCGTTTAGTTGAACATAATTTACAAATGAAAGGTTGGCCATTATTTCGAAAGACTGATTTTCATCGTGTATGGGAGAATACACTATACGTGTTATTGCATGTTGGAAAAAAGCATTTTCATCTGGTCGCCATTGATGCTACTAACTCTGCACTAGGACCATTCAGGTAATTTGTCGGATTTCCTTTTTTAAATGTTTACTTGAAATTGCTATACTTTTTTTTACCAACAACGGGAAATAATTACTATATGAGCACGTTTTAAACAACTAAGGACTGTATTTGGTGCCTCTGTTATAAATTAAGGTAATCAGGTGAATAACAGTATACATAACAGTAATAAACCCACTGAGTTAGTTGAGTGTATGTGAACGCGACTGCTCCACTAGGTGAAAATATCAGTGACTGTTAAAAAACGATTTTTTGAGGTCAAAATGCATTATGAATATATTTCATATACACGCGTCCAAAAAAACCAAATAAAAGACTAGCTATCTTTTGTAGCGTTTAGAAGGACAATGAAGGCGTCCCAGTTAAATGATCCTGCTCAAAAAGACAACAAAACAACACCGAGAGCGTCCATCCTAGGTGTTGGCGGGGGGGGGTGAGTACAAACCTCCACTATTTGAAGGATTAGTTAATTTATATTGATGGGTTTTGTCGGAAAGAGAGGCTGTCCACAGAGATTATTTAGAAACACAGTAGAATAAGTCAAAATGTTCAACTGGAGGTGAACTATCGGTTACTTAAAATTTCAGTTTTTGATTTCCTTCATTAACGCTAGGTTTGTTTTTTCAGTAAATTGCATTATGATGAAGGGTTCAATTTTCAACATTAATCATTGTTATGGTTTTGAAAAGGGAAGCAAAAAATCTAAAACTGTTGCCTGAATATAACTCAAAGTCTTATTTTGTTTCCACTTAGTTTTGTGGCATATCGAAGTACATGAAATATGTTTACGGTGAGTTTTGCACTGAATCATACATTCATTCCCCGTGCATAGAAATTAAACTTTGATCACTGTATTACAAAGAAATTGAACCTTAGCCAAAGAGTTATTGATTATGGAAGCCATTGAAATTTCGTTAAATAACATTTAGAAGTTGTTGTAAGTTCCTTGAAGTTAGTACACTTGCTGACTTAGTATCAAATCTTGAGCTCACACCTTGTAAACATCTTGTAAGACCCAATGACATGGTAGAATAGTATACATACTATCTTTTAATATGTCGTGTTTACTCTAAAGTCCCACATCCACCAGTCTAAGAAGAGGTTAGAAACTGAACAAGGAGGACAGTAATATAAAGTCATGGGACCAGCTTGTTAAGTCATTAGTTTCTTTTTCTAAATCAACTCACTTTTTTTAGTCATGTAGGGCAAATTGTCGAATTGGAAAGTCTCCAACCATATTTTCCTGGTGTTTGTCGCCTACGTCAGTGGTTTCAATGGTTCACCGGTGTGTGCACAACAGTATTGTGCATCGCTTTAGTATGCTTGGTTATTTCGTTCTTGGCGTATGGCGTGTATCTACTACGTTCCAGGAGATTGCGAGCGCTAGAACGCCAGGCTTGTCGAGTGAGAGAATTAGTAGCTGAAGTTGTGTGTAAGTCAGCTGTTGATAAAAGTACTTATTTCCTGTTATTTTATTTTTATATTTGCTAAAGCCTTTTGTTGTTGCGATTATACTAAGTCGGCTTAATTTAACAAAGAGATTTAATGAAGTAATTAAAGTATAGTTACGCTAAGACTAGAGCGGTGTTCAGTAGTAGTAGTAGCACATTAATCAGTATTACTTTCAGGTTATGATTCAGTCGTGTTTGTCCCATGTCATTTCATTCATCATACTGTTCACAAATGATGATAGTTTTACCGTATTGTCAGGTGTGCACCAGTTGGTTGGGAACCAGCAAGTTACACTTCCTCTCATTAAATGAAAAGTTCCTTACAGGACAATTAACACTTACACTGTAACTTTACGTCAACAGTATAAATGCTTGATTTGATAGATTCATGTGTTGGGAACTTTAGTAAACCAAGAAGTATAATTAACGTGCATATTGACTGATGTAATTTCTGTATGAACAACTTGGTATCCCTGTGCTTAAAAAGAAAAGGTGTGCGCAAATTTGATGTTTGTAAAGCTGTTAAGTAGCTTTCTCTATACAAACACTAGTCGTTATTTTCTTAAAATTGTGTGGTAAAATAACAGAACTTGCAGGTACTCCTACAAAGTAATGAAGAGAAGATTCTGATTTTGTGGCCCGCTACTTCCACTGTCTTACTAATTGTCTGCGCTGGTAATCCGTAACTTTCGTTGACCGGATATTTGAGACAAGCGTTTATCGTTACCATGAATACACCTGACTGTCGTCCGCTATGATCTACACAGGATTTTTAATATATATAAATGAACAAAACGTTCATTCTGTCTGTGAACTACCCTATTAAAACATCAAAAGATGCTATACACAAAACCTTATAACTTGTGTGAGAGTTAGGATACCGCCCGGACTCTCAAACCGAAGCGGTTAATTGTCTTAAGGGACCCATCCCCGAACCTATCACATGAAGTCCGATCCACAAGGCAGTGGAGTTGCGTTACCATGATGACTACCGATGACCAAAAGGTTCATACACTATTCGACCTGTTCAAATTCTGGAGCCTATTTACACCGCGAGTTTGGGATCATGATTTTCCAGCTCCTCTAGGTGGTAGATCAACATGTCCATCAGTCAGTCTGGTTGTGTAAACACCAGACATTCGCCTTCCTTGTCACGCTTCTTATAAGAAACATACTAGTCTCGTGAAGGTACAGACAATAAACGTGTGACCACATGAGAGCATTTCGAGAAGAAGACCGAAGTCTACGCGCAGTACCAGGTCATTTATACAGGCGTATTGCCTTAAAGCTCCAAATCCCGTCTAGACACCGTTGTCTGTGTGGTTAAGAGCATATTCAAGAAGAGGCAGTTCTACTTGTATTTATTTACTTACCAGTTGCGTTGTTGCTTGATTTCGCCTTTTAAAAGATTTGTTACAAAATCAACTACGAGAAAATGAAGCAAACCCTGATCAACCTCCGTATATTCCTGTCTACGTGATACGCGAACGTTTAAGACAGAAACACCATGAGTAAGTATCGAGTTACATGTTAAAATTTGATTTTTTTATTTGTGTTGCTTTCTGTAGGGGGAATTACTTACTATTTCTAGATAAATTTGTATTATTCCTTATAATTACTAACAAAACAGGAGAATGAACATATTTTGAAGTACAGTTTGTTTCACTTGTTGGATTTCTTCACGAACTAATCTAGGTTAGAAAGGTTATTGCAAACTTTGGAGCACTGGACAAGCGTTTCGTCCAGTTATGAGACTCCTTCCAGTCACAATGCGAGTTCAAAGGCCATTCGGTCAGGGGGACCCGATCCAATGGTTCATGAAATCCAACTTCTACAAATTTGAGAGCTCGTGTTGTAACTGGAAGGCTGTGCGTTCGAACCCTAATGTATGGTGCTGGTGAAGAGTCCCCACCCGTACTGCCAGGTTTTCCAATGGTTCTCTAGCTGATTAAACCAGTAACTAATCAAATCCCTTCACGAACCAACAATGTAAAGTTATTGTTTTCAAGGAAATGGTCAATTGGTCTCACTCTCTGTCACTCAGTACCGAGCTAATACAGAGACCGTCCACTTCCAATAGTCAGATATGCTATGCATTATAAAGCTGCATATATGAAAATACTTCATTTCAGCTCTACCACAATTCAAAACTGCACCAAAGGATGAAAACAAATAAAATAATATTACAATGAATAAACACGAATAATAAGAGAGTAGCTAATTTTAAAGTAGGATAATACAGATTTCTGAAACTGAAACTGGGAACATCTGCCACATTGTCTACAATATTAAGCCTAGTCGTCAACGAGTGTCCAATCGTTATTAGTTCTCAATTCTTTGAGAAATGCAGCTAACACTAATTCCAAGTTGAAGCTGTTATAAAATTGATCAAATCTCATACCAAGTCATTTAGCTTTAAGACAAACTATATAACCATTGACAAATTTCTAATTTCTCTAGTCTAAAATCTTCAAATAATGTCGTGACAAACTGATAAATGGATGCAAACTATGTTGCCATTTCATTTGGCAAACAGAAAGGTGAATGTGTTCTCAGACAGACTGGTTGACTAATTTGTCATATGATAATCTCTAAAATGATTTAATCTGTTATGTGTATGAGTGAAATATTTACTTAGACGAATATCTTTCTTTTCATATGCATTTATCTGCTACATATGTCGACAGTGCACTATTCACTTAATATTTTGGAAACCATTATCCTACTCTTCCAGGTACTTTACCACCTACCTATAGTAATAATTCACAGTACCACCTGAAATCTGAGTTACTGTTTGGTGTCCATTTTAATCCTCGTCTTCCTTTTCCGTTTTTTCCATATTTTCTACATTGGCTTTTGTTTCCTTGAAACTAATTATAAACTATTCGTAAGGCAGTGCCATAATACATATATGTATTCCGTTCGCGTTTCTCCACCAATTTCTCTGTTACCCCGTAACAGTAAAACTTCTCTTTCCGCAATCAAGTCTCATTTTCATACTTGGAGGGCTTTTGACTGACATTTTCAAGCTCCTGTTTAGTTGTAACAACAGAAGACAAGGGTCAGCAACAGATCTTTTTTATTACGGGAATCAGCACGTATTTATATATATTTCATGTACATTATTACAGCTTATTCAAGCAGACAAACACAGTCTTTTGATTGGTTGTTTCTGGTTTCTCGGAAAGTTAAGCCATCTATCTGCAAATCTTATTTGCCCACGTTAAGTCTGCTGTGATCGGTTGTTGAATCAGCCTTGTTCATATTTTCTCACGGCCAATATTAGTGACCTAGACATTGACGTAAATTAATGTCTACCAATTGGCTAGCAGCCTGCTCTCACCACAAGAAAATATATTGCACTGATTAAGGCACTCTACTCGTACTCATACAGCCAGGTGAGGGCTTACGGCGAGCTGTCATCTGAACTGATGACGACCAGTGGTGTCCGTCAAGGATGCCCATTATCCCCTTTTCTATTCAACTTCATCATAGATGTGTTAATGGACTTAACCCTAGGTGACTTCAGCGACTCAGGGATTGACTTGCTAGCAGGGAATAATCTCGTTGACTTGGAATATGCAGACGATATAGTCCTTCTAGGCGAGGACGTTCACAAAATGAAGCGGAGTCTTCTGAACACCTTGAGCTCCAATCTACGAATGTTTGGCATGCGATTCGCTCCCGCCAAATGCAAGATGATGTTACAGGACTGGACTACAACGATGCCTAGTTTAAAAATAGGAAGTGAAGTGGTAGAGCACGTTGACCGCCTCACTTATTTGGGAAGTACCATCAGCCAGTGCCAACGGGCTGATCTCTGACGAAATCTCAGCACGAATACAAGGGGCTCGTTTCGCATTTGTTAGTTTACGCCGACTCTGGCGTAGACTAGATGTTCGACTATCGACCAAAGGGCGGGTGTACTGCTCATCAGTCCGCTCCGTCCTCCTTTATGGTTGTGAGACCTGGCCACTGAGAGTGGAAGACATGAAAAGACTAGCTGTCTTTGATCATAGGTGCCTGCGTTCTATTTCCTGTGTAAAGTGGCATAATAAGGTGAGCAACATGGAGGTTAGGCGCAGAGTTCTAGGTAAACAGGGGAAATCAATCGACGAAGTCGTGAAGCTACAAAGACTGAGATGGTTAGGACATGTGTTACGTATACCAAGCCATCGCCTCCCTCGACGAGCAATGTTAGCGGATATAGGGTCAGGCTGGAAAAAAGCTAGCGGCGGTCAAACAAAAACTTGGCATCAGTCAATGAAATCCACAACAGTTAGTATAAGCCACGTAGGAAGGTGTAGACTTCCAGGCTGGGGTCCTCGGGACGGTAAAAATCTATGGTTGGAAACAATTGGTGATATGGCTCAAAACCGTTCTCAGTGGCGCAGATGCATCCACTCACTGTGACTTATGATCTTCAAAGAAACTGTTTTGTTCTTCGTTATTACTCCTCCTTTGTCTCACACCTCTGCTCACTGTTTCTATTATGCTTTTCTTGTACTTTCTTCTCTTGCTTCGCGTGCTACACGGAATGTGGCGACTTGAACTTCCGCACATTTGTGCAAAGTTCTATGTCGAAAACAGACAGACAGACAGACATAGTAATTAACCATTTGAATCTATCAAAGTCATGTACAGAAAGTGATAGTTATGTAGTTAAATATTCTTAAAAGTTCTAATTCTCCCTTTAAAAAAGGAACATCTTTTCCTCTTCTAGTGTTGAAAAGCTATGGTCAGAAATTGTACGTTACGTTTATGAAGTTGAAACATGTATTGCTGTCCAAGAATGGCGAGGTATCGGTGAGACATGGCAATGGCAAAGTGGTACGGGTTGGCAAGGTTCAGGTAAGCTTCACTGTATGAATCCGTTTATAGATATGCCATTGCATAACAATGAAATACTTTTTACTACTGGTTTTAGAAGCTTTTAATAAGAATAGTTACTGACACTAGTCTTGAAGAAGAAGAACACATCGACAAAGTTATTTTGTTTTAATTGTATTCTTTACTTTTTTTCTTTCTGAAAAGCTAGCGCCTTTTGTATTATCTATTCTCATATTTGAATTAAAACTGTGTAAAAGAAAAGTGTTTCATGCATTATTCCTGCTTTCATTGGTCTCCGTGTATTGATTTTTTTTTTAAATTTTCTGTCTACAAATTCATTTGTTAGATGAACTACTTACAAAATAGTTTTTCCGCCTCTCTTGTTATTTATGTTAAAAATAAGCCCATGTTTTATTTCATTCATGGAATAAACAATTATTATTATCATTATTATTTGGGTAATCATTTTTACGATGATTTTGTCGCGTGTAGTTAGTATTGAACGGTTAGGGGGTAAATTGCCACAAGTGGATAAATTGAAATTGAGATGTGTATTTCATTGGTATGGGTATTCAACTCTTGATTTGTGGATCATTGGCCTTAAACTTCGTCCCACCTATCGCATTTTGAACAACCAGAAGGTGGTTGATCCATTGATTGTCAGTCTTCATTGTCAAGTTGCTGATAGAAGCTGCCCCACTTCAATTCCCATTTATATTAAGGTTTTTTATGCGGTTTACAGACGAATACATATAATAAGGATTCTGTATTATTACAGGTCGAAGTGAAGGTACTATATAACCTTATATGGAACAGTGAGTCAATAAAATAAACGAAAATCTGTCAATAAGACCGTTAGGAGTCTTTTGGAAGTATAAACTAAAAGGAATGAATGTTAACCACTATCATCATCTCTGAATATCACTGTACTGTCACATGATCAGACCCTGTTTCTTTCTAGATCTGAAAAGAAATCAACGTGGTCAGCACATTAGTTTAATGGCTGTCTATCCGGGTAGAGTTGGAGGACTGATGTCTTTGTCTAACTCAAGCTGATCAACAAACACCGTACATATCTATGTATCAGTTGACCTGACGTGGCAGTGTTGTTTCCAACGTTATACTTGTCTTTTTTGGAATTTCCACTATTCTCGTTGATTATTTCACTTTACCGTAGTGTTTTTAGTACATATTTCTTTTGAAATTCGGAGTTGATTGATCTGTTGCCATTGCCTTCATCTGATTCATTCGTTTTAATTACACGCCATTGTCCCTTCAGTCGTTACAAAGAATTCAAAGCATATTTTTAGAGGTTATGGGAATTAACCTGGTTTCCTCAAACACCTGGGATTAGGCTACAGAAATCCACAGGTATTTGTTAACATTTGGCTGCAAACTATGAGCTGCCTTCACTACTGTTTCTGTAGTAGATTTGTCTTGGTGTCGGGCTTCCTTAGGTTGAGTTTCGCTGTCATATCCAGACAGATGTTTCGTTATCTAAGCAAAATGAGAGGCGATCACAGTTCTCTCTGTTCATCACCATTTTAACGTTTTTTCATAGCTAAATGAGCAGCACATCCTTCATTTTTCCTCACTACATTCAGTAAGTGGTGGCTGCAGACAGTTCAGTCATGAAACTCGTAAAATTTCACTCGCACAAAAATCCTTATCACTGGTAACGGACTACTTAAGGTTGAGTTTGGACATACAGTTTTTGAGACTGACTTCCTGATCTTTCCTCTCCAAAACTAGAAAGCAGTGTATAGTTGCCTACTGGTCGTGTGAGGGAAACACCATTATACCTGCTACACTCCTGCTTACCAGTTATTGTGACTGTCTATTAGGGTCTCCATCATAGTCTAAGCGACGTAAAATACTACGGTAACTGCTTTTAGTGTAATCATCACTGGCCAACCGATTTTTGTTGGTATCTGCAAAATAGCTTGTTTGATAACTGTGATATGCATGCTCGACCAACATGTCAAAGTTATAGCCACTGATCTGGGTAGTGAGTGAGAACCTTACACGAGTTTCAGGCTTCTGACTTATTCTGTAACATTCACTTTGAGATATTCTAACTAAAAAGTCTATATTTCTTGAAAGATCAGCAATAAAAGAACTGGAGAAACTGATGTTATGTTTTGATGTGACTTTCGTTGCCCGTTTTCAACCATACCCTACTCTAGCTGCATAATGCTATAGAGCTACTTTATCTTTGTAGCCTTTCTTTGCTGTCGTTCAGCTCCAAGCTGATATCAGTTTGCACAAATATCGTTGAATATAGCGTTCCTGAAGGTTTGATTTTTAGCGTCGTTGAAATTATGGATCGTTCGTAGACGCAATCTACTTTCAACTGAGCGTGTCACGGCATTGAATCATTTTAAGCACACGGATATTTGATTAATTAAGTGGCATCAACAGATTTCATAAAATGTGTTTGGTTTATTGCTTAATGGTTGTATTTGCTTGTCATTGCAGCGTCATATTTAAAAAAACTTCAAACAGTGATTTTCGAGCAAAAGTCTCACCCTCTTAGATAATCAGTCAGTACAGACTATCATTCATCATGTGTGATTCATAGCCTAGTGTATAAACGTGTTTCGTGATGTAATTATGTTTTCTGTAAAACAAAACTCAGATTCGGTATTCGTTATGACTGTCCTTTTAAATATCATCCATTACGATAACTGTTTGTTTTACCTTAGTGACAACTTGAATCACTTTATACTAGTGTCACGTGGTATGTTGATGGTGTTTGTCCTCCCCCCCCAACCCTCCATAAGAATGTTAAAAAGTGTGTTTTTCGTGCGTTTGGTAGATTTGCCGCTATTTCGAGTACATTTTTTCCTAATCTTACTCAAATAACTTCAAAAAACGGTTTAACTGTCATACATTGCATGGTGCGATTTTCGATTATCACCTTTGTCTACAGTAGTATTTACAAATAATATGTATTTGTACTTTTGCTACTGTTGTGCGTCGATGACAGCGGTTAGGACGCTCGCCGACCATGCACATGGTCCGGAGTTCGATCCCCGGCCGACGCACTCCTTTACCTCGCTAAGCCAGTAATAAGACTGGTAAAGAGGGAAGTTTGGACATGAGGTTACCAACCCCATCCTGTAAAAATAAACATTGCTACAGAAACTTCAAGCCTCTAGCTTGATACCCTATGTTCCACTGGAAACGTGAAAGAATAAAAAGAAGCTTAGCTACTGTATTATAGAAGCTTGTAATATTCGACTACAGATGTTGTATTACGTGTGCACTTATGCAGGTTTGGATTTTCCAAGTGGACTATAACAGCCTGTGTGTGTGTCGGTGGTTCAGCGGAGTAGAACGCTAAGCTATCACACATGTGGTTCGGGGCTGGATCCCTGGCCGACGCACTCATAAATCTCTCTAAGCTGGTAGTAAGGCCGGTAAAAGAGAGAAGGTGGAACGTGAGGCTAGAAATCTCATCCCGTAGATTTAAAACTGCTACCGAAACCTCAAAGCTCTAACTTAAAGCCTTAAAAGTATAATTGGGCCTTCAATCCATTGTCCTCTAGGCGTTTATATTAAAAAATAATTTAATCTCTTTCCCTGTTTAATTCTTTCCTTTTTAAAATATACCTTAGTGAAAAAATATTTTACTTAAGGTAAAATTCATGGGTTTTTTCTTCAATTTCTTCTTTTAGCCGTTATGGACAAGTCACAGAAGCCAAGCTTTATTGTCCCTCCTACAGAGTGTTTAAAAATTAGAAATATGTTTTCTACTGAGTAAGTATCATTAATATATATACAAAGTGTGAACTTCAGTTTTCCACGCCTTGGTTTGTACTTACCTTTTTTTTTAAAAATGTGTTAAACAAGCCTCTACATCATACTAGATATGATTTCTATTAATACGACTAAAGTTTTGTGTATTTAACTTCATCCTCCTAATGGATTTTTCTTTATTTTTCTAAATTTCAGGGGTATTGATGAACGTGGACGAAGACGCATTAAACGTGAACTCCTGAAGAAATTAATCTCTTGTGGACCGATTTTACATATTGGTCTGGATAGTGTTAGAACAAATGTAAGTAATTTAATTTAAAATTAATTTTTATGATAATGACGAAAGCATAAAGAAATATTCAGTTTAGCAAAACCAACAAATTGAATGAAGAAAGATATTCTCCCCATATTGCTAATGTATAATTTTGAAATCATAATATTAAAATTATTCCTACTGATATTGGCAATGTAACAATTAGTTGATATAAGCCATATAAGTTTTATGGTATATGGGAAGGGTGAAAGTAATATTGTTGAAATCAAGACCACCAGGTGGTTGCTAGAATTTATCAACTGACTGTTAGTCAATCATATAAGATGTATGAATTCAACACTTCAAGTCATTTATCTCATTTTTTCTAACTTCTTTCATGGTCGGTCTATGGGTTCGACTTTCACATACACCAACCAAGTCAATTGGAATTCGTCTGAATAAACCCGAATCCGTATATTCATTCAAGAGAAGTTTGTACAGCCTCTTTGTGTTTGCCATACTCCGTGGCCCCAGATAGTATGCACGAAACCGTAGAAACGAACTTTTCTTTTGTCCTTTGTGATATCAATATTTTTTGTTTTACTACTATCACTATCTTAGCTGATTCAACTAACCTACTCGTATTTTGATTTTTCGACGTAATTATTAACTCAGGGAATTCACCCATTACTTCTCCCAGTTATCATTTACTTACAAATTATTGATTTCGTAATGACCTGTTAGTAGTTTTTACGAATAAAATGGTCTTCCACAATGCAACCAATCCCCTTGATTAGTTTGAACAAATAGAGAACCAATATATTTGCAGGATGAAAAGAGCTCATTTATTTTATTTCACGACTTTTCATTAGTGTTGGTAACAGCCTAAGAATGTCATAAGTTATCATAAATGGATAAATATACAACATACTTCACATAAGTATTTCAACTTAAAGGGCATAGTAGTACTAACTGCCCCCAGTGTTAATCAAGTACGCAAATGCAAAGATAAGCAAGCACCTGATTGACAATATATATATATATATATATATATATATATATATATATATATATATAGGGAGAGAGAGAGAGGGAGGGAGGGAGAGAGAAACAGGCCCTAGCTACTCTATGCCCTTTGAGTTAAAATAATATTTACAGCATGCTTTGTATATTTTTGCATTTATAATGATTTATCTTCATTTCCAGGCTGTTAGTAGTAGTTGATGAAAAAGCTGTGAAATAAAAGATGAAAATCCTTTTTCATCCTACAATTATGTCCATTCTCTCCTTGTTCAAAAATCAAGTGGCTATTATTCCTCGTAGTTATTCTCACCTCTCAAATGCCTCGAAATTAAAACTTCTTATCGATGATCACTATAACAGGAAATGAATATATAGAGTTTGTTTTTCCTAAATGTCTAAATATGGAATTTTTAAGTTACATGAAAAATATTTTAATTCGTGAAGTATTTCGAGTACATATTCTAACCCCCTCCCTCCCAGTAATGCATCGGTATCATCTCTTACATCGACACACTTTCACAAGAATATTAAGGCAAGAAAGACGTACTTTTAATGTATGCATAGACTAACAACACGTTGGTAAAGCATTTGATTACTATAAGTTTGAAGTAAACATTTAACTCCTTAATCTTCTCACTCTTAATTGTTATCAAGTATATTCTCGTTTGACTGTTAAGGTAATGTCGTTTATTGATTACAAAAAAAATTGCCGTTGTCAATTTATTCCACTTATAATTCTTGGAAAATGATGCTATACTTGATGAAAAATGCAGTCTTCCAAACACCTTGAGCCGCAATCTACGAATGTTTGGCATGCGATTCACTCCCGCCAAATGCAAGATGATGGTACAGGACTGGACTACACCGACTCCTAGATTAGAAATTGGGAGTGAAGTGGTAGAGCACGTTGACCGCTTCACTTATTTGGGAAGTATCATCAGCCAACGCCAACGGGTTGATCTCTGACGAAATCTCAGCACGGATACAGCGGACTCGTTTCGCATATACCAGTTTACACCGTCTCTGGCGTAGACGTGATATCCGGCTGGCTGTCGACCAAAGGGTGTGTGTACTGTTCTCCTCCTTTATGGCTGTGAGACCTGACCACTGAGAGTGGAAGACATGAAAAGATTAGCTTTCTTTGATCATAGGTGCCTGCGTTCTATCTCCCGTGTGAAGTGGCATAACAAGGTGAGCAATATTGAGGTTAGGCGTCGAGTTCTAGATAAACAGGGGAAATCAATCGACGAAGTCGTGAAGCTACAAAGACTGAGATGGTTAGGACATGTGTTACGTATGCCAAGTCATCGCCACCCTCGACGAGCAATGTTAGCGGATATAGGGTCAGGCTGGAAAAAAGCTAGCGGCGGTCAAACAAAAACTTGGCATCAGTCAATGAAATCCACAACAGTTAGTATAAGCCACGTAGGAAGGTGTAGACTTCTTGGCTGGTTGGGGTCCTCGGGACGGTAGAAACCAATGGTTGGAAACAATTGGTGACATGGTTGAAAACCGTTCTCAGTGGCGCAGATGCATCCACTCACTGTGACTTATGATCTTCAAAGAAACTGTTTTGTTCTTCGTTATTACTCTTTCTTTGTCTCACACCTCTGCTTACTGTCTCTATTATGCTTTTCTTGTACTTTCTTCTCTTGCTTTGTGTGCTATATGGAGTGTGGCGACTTGAACTGCTACACATGGGTGCAAAGTTCTATGTTGAAAACACAGACTTGATGAAACAACCTCTACAAAATATGAATTACTTTGTAGGAGTAGTTTTTCTCTCACAGTAATCATAGAAAATTTATTTATGAATGAAGAAAATAAATATTTATTCAACGAAGCATTATTATTTGCCTCTTGAAAACAATTATTCCATTTTCAAGTTCTACAGTCGAAGTTGTATTTCTCTAAGAAGGTATTTAATGGCACTAAGGTATATAATAAAAATTTATAACATGATTTTTAGGATGGTGTAAGGTTAAAGTGGCTGAATTACACATTGACAAAAGGTTATTAAATAAAAGAAATATATTACTTTTAAGAGGATTAAATAGTTGGGTGTAAGGCGTGTGTCTGTCAAAAAACTGAAATGATGATGACGATAATGACAGTCATAATAAAGAGGAAGACTAAGTGAAGCGGAGTGAGACATCATTCGAGCCAATGTACAGAAAGTAGTGTGTTAGCCAAACGGTTTGTAAATACTTAGTTTATGTTTTTGTTCATGTATGGGGGGTTAGTGCTTCAGCTGTATTTGGTTAATGAGAATATACATTCTTAAAGTGGTTGGATTGGCTGTTATAGGTAACTTTAGAAATCAGTCTACTTGGGTCAAAATGACTCTTTTGAAGATGTTTACAAACAGATTTACAAATGCATCTTTAGTTGAAACTGTTTGTTCTCTATGTGATTTTATTGAGTTTAATAATATAAACATTGGAATACCAAAGAACCATCTAAAATAGCTAATACTGAGGTATTCGTTTAATGTATTATATATATATATATATATATGATTTATAACTACAGGAATAGAACATCCATGGGGTCTTCTTTACGGCCTCTCCTAGCTGATGTCTGGATTAGGGAATGTTCTAATGGAAGATATTATCTCTATTCTTCATTTGTATAAAAGACACATGGATGATGATGCTTTTATTGTTCGTGATGGAAACCGTTCAACTTTTGTATGCCTCAAATAATTCAGCAGTGATCACCTATTTATATGTTTGATGATTGAAGAGGGTTTGAATTTCTTTACTGAGATGTCATACTAACGAGGAAACTCAGTGCAAAGATTAATCTATTAGAAATCAATCTCTACTGGACAATACACTAAATTTAACAATTAGATATATCCTTAGGTAAGAGGAGAAACCTTAAGCATAGTCATATTACACAGTGAGTAGTCGTTTGCTACGGTAAGAAGACAGTGAAATAGGGAGTTGTTACTTTAGCACTATTTAATGTGATAAAATTATTTGTTTATTGAGTGTGTGATAGTATTTATGTGCCGCCGCATTGATGTTTTTATATAAGTGTCACATTCATTTCCTCCGAATTTATTTTACTTTAGGGTTTAGTATACGTCAAATGTGCAGATGCTGATACTGCAGGCCGCGTATTTCATTCAATACACGCCAATTATTTTGATGGTAAGTAGTAGTCAATTACACATAAACTCTTTCTTTGATTGAGGTAATTGTCATCATTCCACTGGATTATACGCTAGATACTCTGTTTTAGGTGTAAATTTCCGTTCTTCTGTGTATAACTCAAAACAGTATAACATTCTGTCTGGTTATGAAAAATGTATGTTGATTAGAGGTAGCACTTTCTTTGTACTACTACTACTTATGATTCTCAAAGCAATGTAGAGTAATGTGCCTGTGTCTTAGAATTAAATTGTGAGCTTTTTAGAAGCACTCCAACCAAGTCATGAAACAACAACTCACTTGGTTTGAGTCATTAAGATAAGGTGTGGAAATCGTTTTCAGTCAGGAAACAGGAGCTAATGTTTGATTTAAGTTCACTTCATTCAAGCGCATGTGTGTCGGTGGCACAGTGGTCAGGACTCTCGCTGACCATTCACATGTTCCGGGTTTCGATCCTCTGCCGACGCACACCTGATATCAATTGTCGGCCTGCAAAATTTGGGCTACCGACATCACATGCTGAAAATTCCCATGCTTACGGTGTGGAATCAAGCTATAATAAAAATATTAAAAAAAACATTTTTTCATAGTCATTCATAGATTTTTCATCATATTTATTCAATGGTTCTATTTTAGACTTCTACTGCAAGGCGATTTCTGTGTTTTATGATGTGATAAGTTAAAGCCGTGCTAGGATTCATTTCGCTATCATTTTGAACGCGGAGAAACTAACCGAATGTTGTGGTTCACTCACTACGATATACCGTCAATAAGACAGATACCACTGCTTAAAGTTTGCAAATTTCCTCATGAAGTAGTAGTCATTAGTGTGCTGATAGAATCATTAAATCGTAGATCACTAGGATTGTTATTATTAATGTTCCCTTGGGTTCCCAGTGGAACATAGGGCTTCAACTGCACATCACATCCATTCCATCTGCTCTCGCAGATTCCTAACACTTCTATTCTATATCTTCTCATTTCTGCGGCTACCTGGACAGCCTTTCCAGTTTCGTACATTGTCCGAACATTCCACGTTCCCATCCTTATTTTTGCTTTCATCAAAAGAAGGCACATCGGCTGACTGGCTTCCCGAAGGCTTTCACCAGCCTGCGTCATTTCACTTCCCCGATTCCAGCGAAAAATAAGGTTACTGTTTATATTTTTAGAATTTTTAATATATTGGTGCATTGAAGTTCCTGTAGCGGTTTGGTTAAGTTTTGGGGGTGGAGTTGCTAGCACCACGCCCCAACCCTCCCTCTTTATCCGGGCTTGGGACCGGCTAGAAAACTGGCGAGCTAGTAATCTAGGCGAGGTTCCTAGCATAATTATTGCTTCCTAATCCTTTTTTTGTCTTGTTTTGTTTTTTGTAGGTCGTTTGTTAACTGTCAAATTCCTAAGAGATGCAAAGTATTGTTTACGTTTTCCTGAAGCTCACAATGTAAAACAACCCCTTCGATTAGGCGATTTTGAATAAACAATCTGCTGTTATTATGTTGTTATATATAATACATCCTATTAAAAACAGATAGGAGGGGTATATTGTTCCTCCTAACTATATCGGTGTGTTTTGTTTCTTAATAAGGAGGATTTATCAATGTTTTTCACTTATATAATAGCATTTATATATACGCCCCACCCCGTCTATATTATTGTTATTATATATTGTTCAATTTGTTTTATAGCGCATTTTCTGTTTACTATTATTATTATTATTACTAATACTATTACTAAATTTGTAAAGTTTGTACATTTCAATTATTATTAACTCAGTGTATTTTTACTCTTTGTAATTCATACGTATTTTATTAAATAATAAATTATGTATTGTAAGCTTTTTGATATTGTCATCTTTTTTGTTGTTGTGTATACATGCCTCTGTGTGAATTATGGGGTGGTAGTAGCAGTAGTAGTATGTATATATATATGACCCTTTATTAATTCGAGAATACGTTACTGCAAAAGTTGTACACAAATGGATTTCGTTGTTGTTATCACGACTTCTTCATCCTACGTGAATTTATCTTCTCCATCAGTTTTTCTTGTGTTTCTCTAAGTACACCGTTTGGATCTTCCAATTTTATCTGGAAACAAAAAATATGTATTTAAATAGTTCTACATAATGTTTGTTCTACGTTCTTAGGAGATGATTCTCTGTGGTGTATATCCGTTGAATAAAAAAAAACCCTGAATTTTGATCTTATTCTGTTTTTCCTGGTTCAGGTTACTTTTTATGATTTATATTTTTACGGATAAAATTTTCTTTGTTATATATATTGAAATTACTTTTCTATACACTGTTAACGATTACTTTCTTAATCGATTCCTTCAGATTGGATAGTGTTCCTACGACATTGAGTGAATCCATATCAATAGAAGGAGATATTTTGGAGTGGCTCTCTAATCCAGTCTGAAGTCGTTTTATTTATTTGGAACTCCCGAGTTTCCGTCGGTATATATCTATTGTATATGCGTATCTGTCAGTTAGTTAGCTTTCGGTTTTACGTCTAACTGGCGTTCATTTATTTTAAAAGACTATTTGGTAAGATGATAATGGACAAAGTTTTCGTCTGTTTACCGCTTGGGTGCAGAAAATTCTACGGCATTTATCTTATCAGTAGTAGAGTTTCTGCTTTTTGGATTAAACACTTGACCTCTAGCCAGTAGACATCGGGTTTGGATTACACTTCGTCTACTTAAACCCATCGGACAATAATCATTTTTCATAGCCGGATAATTCAACTTCGAGCAATTGACATTCTATGAGCCTTCTCTCAGCTTTTTTGTTATATTCTTATTCAGTATAGTAGGATTACCAAATTACGCACGAATAACGTGCAAAGTACTTCTTTTCATTAAAATCATTTGTGATTGTGCAAAATTCTTTTCGCTGTGTTCATTTGAACTGTAATGATTTGTATGGAATCACATTTATGACAATTTCAAATGGATATAAATGCGGAATTTATGCTTACTTACTCGGTGGATAAAGTGGTATATATCTGTATTGCAGTCTATTACAAGCTCAACCTTATAAGTTACTACCTTTAAGACAAATAACATCTGGTTTCATAGTAACTTCGTTGTACTAACGATTAACTAGACGATAAAGGTTATTCCTATACGTTTGTGTTCACCACCCCAAATGCACTGGTTTTATTTTGTTAACCAGGGAGATTTTATAAATCTGTCAGGAATGCAACTAATCAGGGAATACGTAGTGTAGAGTTTCGAGCTGTGTTTGCGGATGAATAAGTATGTTAGAAAATGTGTTGCTATTTCAGAATGTAAAAAAATCTTATTGGTGGGTGTTATAGTTAGTGTTAGTCACCGTTCATCAGATTACTTTGGTTGAAATATCCCTAGTCGTATAAATTTTTCAATTTTATCTGCCGTTGATACAGTTAGTTTGTTGAGTTTTCTAGTCGATGAAATGTCAGTTGATGCCTTTGAAAGATGATTGGTCTCTGAGCAAACGACTCAGTATTGTAATGGTTCAGCACAGAAAATTTGATTCAGAAGTTTGCACCTTATTCAGCTTAGTAGAATTTTTGTCTTCAACCAACGGAATTAGCTATCTTATAATCGAGAAATTCTTCACTGATTTCTATTCCTAACGAATAACGTCTGGTTATTTTGATTTCTTCGGTTGCACTCGGAGAGTCGTGATGCACTAACTGCTGGCAGTACATTACATCTCTGTTTCATGCATCCGTTCACGTTGGAGGTGTTGGTTCACACTTGATTGATATGTTTATATCAGGAATCGGAAGTTAACATATTCTCTGTTTTGGTGTAAAAGCCGTATTATACTTAATTTGTATTTCTTAAAGATAGAGTGTTTCATTCCTTCAGTTATTTCAATGAATTTTGTGTGAATGTAGAAACTTACCTCTGGTATTTCAGATTCAGTTGGATTTCTTGCTACCTCTCTGCCAAGGTCCACAATTTGCGAATTTTTCGGCACATCATCACACCATACTCCCTCCATTAATTGACCAGTAGTAAGAAAGAAATACTTCCCTCTTCCATTCTTTTTGTCGTTTAACCACTGCCCTTCAAACCTGTTTTCATTGGCTGAAAATTTAGGCTGTAATGTTTCAAGCTACCCAATCTAAGCATTCCATCTCCCTCTCGTTTGTCGTTGACCCACTGTCCTTCATATATGCTCCCATCAGCATAGTACATTCTTCCCCATCCAGAACGCTTACCATAGCACCATTCGCCTTCATATATTTCATTTTCCGAGTACCAATTCTTGCCATAACCCTTAAAATATATTAACAAAAATGAGTACACAACTTGCATGCCGTTTGTCATCCTTCCAACTTCCTGAATAAATATTAATTTGATTTCCGTTTTTACATTTAACGCTTAAGACTCCAGATCCATTTCGCATGTTGTTTTCCCAATCTCCCTCGTAAATAAAGTTTGTTTTCTTCCATTTGTATATACCACGTCCTGTTTAATGCATGGTTTGATGAATAAATACCAAAAGGTTGAAGCTTTCAAAGAAAACTATGCACTTATGCTGCAGTATGAAAGACATAGGGACTAAGGCAGGAATGGAAAGTGGATTGCATGGTTATGTGGTGAGAGCAGGCTGCTAGCCAATTAGTAGACATTAATTTACGTCAGTGTCTAGGTCGCTAATATTGACCGTGAGAAAATATGAACAAGACTGATTCAACAACCAATCATAGCTGACTTAACGTGGGCAAATGCGTTTCGCAGATATGTGGCTTTACTTTCTGAGAAACCAGGCACAAGCAGTACAGAATAACCTTGAGCAAGAAACAACCAATCAGAAGACTGTGTCTGTCTGCATGAATAAGCTATAATAATGTACATGAAACATATATAAATACGTGCTGATTTCCGTAATAAACGATCTGTTGCCTGGATCTTGTCTTCTGTTGTTACATTTACATATATATATATATATATATATATATATATATATATATATATATATATATATAGTGTCAATTTTCTTGGTGGATATAATATATATTCCACTTACGGAGATTTTCTGAGTGTCTCTGAGCCAGGCTTAGCTACGCAGGGACTGGAAGGATGCCATTATAAGCCCTATCTTCAAAGAGGGGAACAGGCAATTGGTAACCAACTACCGACCGGTAAGTCTGACAGGCATTATACCAAAGGTATTGGAAACAATTTTAAGGGATTAGCTATTAGCTCATGTAGAGAAACATTGCTTGCTGGCGGTGAAATAGCATGGATTCCAACCGGAACGATCCTGTCTGACAAATCCACTATTGGCTAGGGAAGACTGGGTTGAGGCGAGAGATAGAAACCTTCTGTTGGACGTTGTTTTTTTATCGATCTTCGTAAGGCATTCCATAAAGTATCCCACCTAGGTCTCCTTAGTAAACTTAAAGCTTTCGGACTAGACCAGTGCCTATTTGAATGGCTTAGGGATTACCTAACGGATAGAAGGCGAAAGGTTAGAGTTAACGGTGTACTGTCAGGGTGGAGAGCAGTATCCAGTGTAGTGCCTCGTGGAAATATATTAGGCCCCTTGCTATTCCTATTATATGTTAATGAACTACCGGGGATTCCTACTTAATCTTGATTATTATTTACAGACGACATCAAGATCTGGAAAACTGTAAATAATAACGATGATAGGTTGGCCCTACAAAGTGATCTAGATAAATTGGCTGAGTGGTCGAACCTGTGGAATTCGGAAATTAATTGTAGGAAAAACGCGGTAGTGCACTTAGGTCAGAAGTCTTATACGTCTTACTCCCTAGGGGACACAGGACTACATGATTTTAACGGACAGAAGGACCTACGAATCATCGTCAGCAATGATTTGAAAACAACTGCGAATTACGATGCACCCGCAGCTAAGGCTTTTCGAATGCTATGGGCAATCCGGAGAGCTTTCAGACATTTAGATAAGTCTATGTTCAAAGTACTTTGCTCAACATGTGTCAGACCCAATCTAAAATACTGCATACAAGCGGCCAGTCCACGCTTCAAAAAGGAGGGGTATATCTTAAAAAGAGTAGGGACCATATTAGTTAGTGGTGTCTCACACCTTCTTTATGACAAAAAGATGGATCATTTAAATCTCTTCCCGTAATCATACTGAAATAAGAGAGGCGACTTAATTTTAGCATACCGTATGCTTAAGGGCGATTTAGGAATTGGTCTTTCTAAACTTTCCTCCCCTTCTAGGATACATTTACGGGGTCACCACAAAAAGTTGCTCAAACCGTGGAAGATTAAAATACGTGAGGAATTTAGATTCTCTCAAAGAGTGGTCAACGACTGGAACTCCCTCCCTGATTCAGTAGTAACAGCCCCATCGGTGAACGCTTTCAAAAAGAAGTTAGATCTCTGCAGAGATATATTTTGCAAGGATTAACACAGGCCACAAGAACCTACTATCCTTATCATTTGAATCTGAAATGATAATCTCAAGACGTTGCCTAGGTCATGTTCCTG